ACCTGCCAAATGCTCGATCGGTCTCATGTTTGATGGATGTACCTGGTACATATCCACAGTGTACTCAGAAACTCAGCACTTTCTTGGCAGTATATAACACCAAGAAACATTCTGAGAACGTGGGACTTACATCTTGAATGCGCAGAGCATTCAAAACAGTTACATACCAGTTATGTATCGTGGCTGCTCAAAGAAGTTAAGAAGCGTACCGTTGGGACGTACCGCCAATATATACGTTATATCGATGGTATCATGTTTACTATGGACGTTTTCAGAATCCACAGACCTTTGTTTCTGGACATCCAGTCTCATTACATCTCAATTACATCGGGTTTGGACCGTAGTGTAGAATAACGGCGTGCGTCTTTGTGATGCCGTCGATGTTTGCGCTGACGCCGATGATCCAGAAAGGGTAGACATTGCGGCAGAATAGGAGCAAGAATATACTCTCGAGCTTCTTTGGGGCAATTGTTTCGTAGTGAAGAAGCTCATAGCGATTGATTGATATGTATGAAAGTTTCAAGGAAGTCGTGTTGGGCTTGCTGGATTTTGAATGAAGAACCTTGATGGACCATGTTGATCCAGTCAACTAACTCTCTCAATGGCATATGGTTTTGCGGGTAGTTATCGTTTTCAAACTTGTGCAAAAACCGTGCAATACCGACATGCAAGTTCCGTGCAAGTTATGTATATCTTGCACAGAATCTGCACGCATTGCTTTTGCTGAAGGCCATGATTGGCAAATCACATTTTGGCGGCAAAAAAGTACATAATATTCTAAGTTGGCCAAAAGTGCCTAAATTTTTTTCACTTTTGCCTCCCAGCCCTTCAAATCTCATTTGTTCTTACAAAAAAATGCTAAAATTTGCTTCTCAAGAGGGGCTTTCTGGAAGTTTTGTAAAAAATTCTAAATTAGTGTTTTGTTGTATTTGTATTCTAGGTGTTTTTTTAACTTGAACCCCCCTATTTTGAGGGATTATGCCACTATAAGGCAGATTATGATCAAGCCAACATGAACCACCGGTGACATGAACTTCGACTTTGCCACAGATCTAGTTTTGTTGTTTTAAGTTGATGGATTCTCAAAATGATTCTCAATTCTTCTGGTAGCCATCTTAACAGTCCATCTTGCATCAACGCTTTGGATTAGGTGAAAGCCGAGTATGTAGAGCTGAGTTGGTTAATTTCTGGTTTGATTTTAAATGAAGTTGTCGGAATGGCTGCCAGATTGTCAAGTTTGAATGGTGTTTAAAAGAATTGATTTGGTAATTTCTGACCTTCGAAGTTCGAACCCTTGAATTTGGTCGATGAAAACTCGTCATCACTAAAACACTCAATTTTTGAGTCGTTAAATTCAAACTATATACAACACACCTTTTGTACAGCTTCACCTTGACTTCATTTTGTATCACTTCCTCTCCCCTGTTTGTAGGAAGTTGACAATCACATTCGAGTTTTTGTCAGTTTTATCAATATCCTATCAGTTTCAGTATACTCTTGTGTTGGTCTTGTCTGTGTTGCTGAGGGGTATACGTTCAACTAGTCAAAGCAAAGTCGAGCTTCTTCAACAATTTTGTTATATAAACAAACAAACGGTCGAATTATTTGGATTGTCACTACTGCTCGTCTCACTGGACAGATTCAACATCACATTTCACGATGAGTTCTACCAACACCTCCAACGACATTTCAAACCATACCTCCACTTTTTCACAGCAGGCATCTCAGTCTCGATCAAATTATGAAAAAGCTCACTCCTCATCAACCGATTCTTTACCAACCTCTACCCCTGAACGTTATCCTCAACAACATTCTTCACTTCATCTTCCGTTTCATCAAGAAAATCAATCATCACCCCCAAGAGCCAGTAAACTACGTAGGCGGATTAGGGCTATTGTCATTGGCATATGCATCTTCGCTGCCATGTCTATCGCAACAGATTGGTGGGCACATGCACAGTAAGCTTCAACAATAAGTTTTCAAATCCAAAGACTTGCTCGTTGTATATCTCCCTTGTACTATACTTACTATTCGTTTGCTCTTAGATTTTACACCTTTCGATATCCTTGGATCTATCAATCCACACCCAACTCAAACCCTAATACCACATCATGGAAAACTACCAGTAAACTCTACCGAGGTCTCCCAGCTTGTGACCCATTCTCAGAACCAGGATCCGTTGTCTTTAATGAAGAATTCCATCACGACGCGAATTGGGTCCCATTTGGCTCGTCGTGTCCGCCTAGTCCTGATTACTTATCCGCTTTGAGGTCAATCTTGAACGTGCCGATCAATGCAACACTTGAACATCGTAACGAAGTCATTCAACATCCTACTTATCAAGGTCATCATTATGCCGGTCAGGCTGGTGAAGGCCGAGAGCATCTAGATATTTGGGGTCGTCCCTACCCAAATCTTGACTTTCTTCGTGGCAAGACCATTCTATGGCTGGGCGATAGTGTCGACCGAAACGGCTTACAACATCTTCACGAGCTTCTCGGAGCTAATTACCGCGGTTTTTCTTACACCGACATTGATGGACCGGTTCCTGAAGGCTGGGACCCACGAAACACACCTTGGGAAGTCGACCTTGGCCTACTCAACCCTCGGAACCGTCAGACACCCAACCCCAAAAACTCTGCAGCTCAATTCGCTGGTCTCAATTGTCGAGTTGTCAATGGATTCTTTTATGGACTTGTTTGTTGCTTTTTGTCTATGCTCATGAATTATGATGAACGCAACACTTTCCATACATAACTGACACCGAATCATTTTGATACCTTGACTTTTTCACATGTAGGATGACATCAACGAATTTTCGGTTCAGGCGGATTGGCATGCACCTGGGCTGGCAGAGCAGAGGATCGAAGAGCTTTTCCAGCCAATGATAGATCAGTTCGCTGCAGAAGCTAAGGAAGCCCCGGCGTTTATTTCGCTTCAATCAGGGCTTTGGGACCTTGCATTCTTTGGACGCCGAAACAGAGAGGCCAATATGACCACAGAGGCCCCTTTGACAGCTGTCCAACTTGACTGGTGGCAGAACCGAATGAGGAGTGTAATCCGAACTCTCAAAGTACATTGGCCCAATACACCCATCTGGATTCGAAAGACTCATCGTGTTGGGGATCAATATTGGGCTAGCCACGATTGGAGTCCGGGTCTTAAACACGGGATGGGCCCTGGATTTGTGAATTTCTTCTCAGATGTGTAAGTCCTCGCTTACCCTATTCATAAATCGTCACGGGGGCTTACTAATCCAACCTTTCGCTGCTCAATTCTCAGTCGAGTACACCAGCTTCAGCAAATGCAAGATGAGGTCGCTCGCAATGAAGGTCTACCCATTTTCGACTGGGGCAAGATTTGGGAGGGATATCAAAAATATCAAGACAAAGTTCATCCACAGCAGGTTGGTGGCTACATTACATACTTCTCACGCTTCTATCAAGCTCAAGCTCAAGATAAGATATCTGATTCGCCCCTGACTGTTTTCATTCTTTTGCTTGCAGATTCCAGGCGGTGTCTTGATGAATCAAGCTTTGTTGCACCACGTATGGATGGAATCTATCGGGCGACAGAATTGGGACCCTAGTCTCACTACCGGATTAGGACCGTTACCGCATCCTCGTCCTTAATCGATGCCGCTGATCGCATCCAACAAAATCCTGTGACACGTGGGTTGTCACCTTCAGGCCGAGAACTGTTTCACCCGTGCTGCTCCTGGACTCAATGTCAACGCCAGTGAGAAAATGGACCTTGGCTACTTCAACCTGCGTTCTGCGCTTCTTCTCTATCTCTATCGCGCAATTCCGATTATTACATTGAGGCGTGGTCATGTTATTACTTCATCTCATCTTCACAATCTTGGTTTTTGGATATGCCAACCTTAATGATTGGCCTTTTATACAACTTGTATACATTTTTTGAAACCTGGATATGCTTTACATCTTGATGATTCTCTCACGTCCTTTCAATTTAACTTAGATCATACTTTTTCAAAATCTGATCTGATTGTTTATAATACTTTTGTTATTAATTTTTGTGATTTTGTACCATGGAAACAAAAAAAGGGAATCAACCAAAATGGTATATAAATATCTGATGAATTTATTATATCTGGTTTCCATTTGATTGTTATTTGAATATGAAATGATAGCCCAAATTTGAACATTTTTATTCACATTGGTACTTGACTTGTTGAATCTGATATAAGTCTTGCCTACTCAATTGAAATTCAACTTGATGTCTCAATTATGATCTATTATCAGCTATTATCTTCTTTGCTTAAGCCAAGGTACCTAGTAAGTTGTTTTCTTAGTGATCTTGAGGGAAGTGAGGTCTCTTACAGTATTATCAAAGCACAATTACCCTTCCCTGGGCCAACATGCAACAAAACCCCTTGGATTGAAAAATCCAAGACATCATTGGACTCAGATCCTTGGTCAGAATGATTCCAAGGTTTTAATCTGAGGTAATGTTTGACACAAACCAATACCTAGGAGAGAAACCTAGGTCAGGTTGTTGCATCTGATGATGTCTTAGATTTTGCAACCCAAATGATGGCAGTGCTGGCCATAATATAGAACTTAAAAAATATGGAGCTATTGGTTGGATCATGCTTTAGGCACATGGGCAAAAATAGGTGCTCACATAGGCGTGAGCGTTGAAGTTTTTGTTTTTTTTCAATGTTTGTTCAATTTTACTTCCCATTTCTTTCCCATTTTGTTCTGCTTGTCAGCTGATTATGTGATCAACAGGAACTGAGTAGATCAATTAGGCCTTCCTCAGGCTTCATTCCTTACCAAAGCAGCCTGAGGGAGGGCTGGCCCATCTGCTCACTTCATCTAAGCCCCTCAGCTAATCCTCAGCGGCATCCCTTGAAGCCTGCTGATCCAGTGGACACCTGTGGCTGGCTGGGCTTTTGTTAAGCTAGCCCCGTGTTGGGTTGGACAAACAAAAACCCCAGACTGTTCCGTGAACAAGGGGAACTGGGATGTCCCCAACCATTCTGACTTGTCAGCTGACAGTAATCACTTTCACATCCCTTTTGCAGACCTTACAAACCCGTGATATCATCTCAAGTTTCACACACTCTTTTCTTGTGCCTCTTGAACTCTTCACACTACACAAAATCAGCATTAAATCAGCATTATTCAGCATTAAATGAGCATTTTTGATTAAAAATGCATTAAATGTAATCATTTTTTCCTTGGGAAATATGCACCTTGTTCCTAGATGTGGTTAATTTACTAACGATAAAGCCCAAAAATCATTGACAACCCACCTGTAACAATACCTGAAATTTGGCCCATGATTTAGAAGACAGGATTTTGAAACCTTCAAACATCAATAACTTTTGCAGTTCTGAATCAAATCACTCAATTCTAGTTCATCAAAAAGGTGAGTCTTTCCTCTACATTTATCATTCAGACATCACATTATTGTTAGTACATTAACCAATATCTGTGTGTAAAATACAAAAAAATACTCATCATGACGCCCCAATATCTAGGAACAAGGTGCATATTTTTTCAGATTTTTAGCTCTCTTCCTGTTGCCTCAGGATTTTTCTATGTCAGTAGTTTTCTTCAACCCCCAGTAAAGATTACATTTTGTGTAGTGTCAATCAGCCTTCAATCCAAGTCAAAGTAGAATCATCTCATCATCAACAACAAATAACCAACCAAAGAACAAATAACCGAACTCCAAAGTCAAATCCAAATTTACCTTCTATCACCCTACCTCAAATGAATCATGCTCAATCTGATCAGGCTATCACTTATAATCCTTCCTTTAATATATCCAACTCTCATCACCAATTAGTTAATCTTTCAATCAATCACTCATCAAATCAACCAAGCTTACTTTGTGTTTAATGATAATTAGCTAATCCTATTCTAAAATCAGATCATCAGAAACTTCTCATAACAAAAGTTTCAATCGGTATGTACTATTTGTTCTTTTCTTTTGAAAAACTTCCTTATCCTATGGATTTCCCAGAATTGTTTTGAATGGACTCATCATCAACTATGTTACATGTCAGTATCAATGCTATTGTTCCTCTAGATATAAAGGAAATATTTCTCTCTCACTGGTAAGATTGTATTTTAAGGATGTCTTTTTAGATACCAAGATTGATTGGAAAACTTATATATAAGAGGTTGAAGGATAATTACGTGGAGAACATGATTACCTGAAGACCAGAGGACATACTGGTCCAATTGTGTAAATGTTCTTGAGTCTTATAACTTTTTACCAATTGTTACTGACTCCAATCTGGCCAATTTTTAGTTATCCCGCAGGTCTTGTTCACATTTACACTGTGTTATATCACTTGACCAATAAAGGCTCCATACTTTTTTGCTGGTATCTACTTGATCACCCTATCAGTTGTCTTTGGAATCTTTAAACAATGTCAATCAGTCAGTCACTTCCCTTTCTCTTTTGATCTTATATATACCCTTGCCTAACTGTTGTTCTACAAAATGGGTCTTTTTATGTACACAAGATACCTCCCTACACATTGATTTTCCTAGCTCTATCCAAACAATTACATTCTATCTCTGTACTAAGGCTCTTTGATGATGGGATAAAAATGTCAGTGTTTTATGTCAGTCTTTGGTATCTGATCTGCAAGAAATGGAATTGGAGTGTGATATGGTTCAGGTAAATATCCATTGCTTACATCTTCTAACATAACTATAATTAAAAACTCAATCATTTGACTCTTTTAGTCTTGCTTTGTTCATCGAAATGAATGTATGTACTACTGTTTTTGCCGGCTTATGGTCTCATTTGGTTTCAATCTGTTGGTTTATTGAAGACATTACGACTGGGTTTCATAATACTAGGTATTCAAGTACAAGACTCGCTTTATAATCACTGATTTCTTTATGATTTGATTACTGGAACCTATATTTGCATTTTTGTAGACATTGTTGGGAGGTTCATTCTTAACGGCTCACCCTATCTTGTAACTTTCAAAAGCTGTTGAGTTTGATCCAGTATTCTTCTGTCAATGGACTGTCAACTGGCATATGTTATTGGAATCCAATTTTCTATCTCAAGGATTTGCTTATACCATGCTTACAGCCACTCACGTCTCATTACTAGGGCTTTTTGCCTGGACAAGATGGTGTAGAGCGTATGGTGAGAAAGGACCGATCCATATCTTGCTCCATTGATTGGTGAACTTTGCTCAACCTGCTAGCAAGCGTCCCGTAGAGTCACCCCTGATTGTAGGTTATGTTTTAGCTTAGCTCACTAATCTTGATTCATGGTTGCTGATCCAGATCAGTCTTTTTGAACAGATACAGTTAAGCTTTGCTTTACCTCTAATCTGATTGGGATGGTGTGCGCACGCACATTGCATTACCAATTCTATTCATGGTATGCACATCAAATTGTCTACCTGTTGTGGCAAACTTCATACCCTCTTTGGATCAGGTAAGAAAGATTGTTTTTTTCTCTTCCCATCTCTCAATCTCAAGATTCTGATGTTAGAATGTGTGTTTGTTATTAGGGTGGGATTTATGGATATCATTGAAGTCTCTTGGAACATTTATCCCGCAACAGCTTTATCATCATCTTTACAAAATCTAAGATCAAATGAAGTCATGTCTTTTGGGTTGGATTCTTTGTAAATAGATATAGGAGAATCGGTCCAGGCTCTGAGATTAATGCAACCATCAAATTTCTCTTATCTGATCTGCTTTTTGTGAAATCACGGATGTTGTAGATTGTCTGGCTAAGTCTGGCTTAAATACTTGGAAGAAACATCTGACTGCTAGATCCTATGAATGAGACGTGGAGATGATCAACTTCTGCTCGACAATTGATTCAAGGTCTTTGCAAATTTGGTCCGATGAAGGTATCTGATGATAAAATGCAATTGAGAATGCCAAGAAAAGATCTGATTTTGATGAAGGTCCCCTTGTCAAGATGGAGGTTACATAGTGAGGATTTGACTGAAGTCAACAGAAATCAGGTATCCTTTTGATATTTGAGGACAAGATTTCATTCATGGTATGAAGCTTGAGTGCTGATTCCCGTGGATCAAAGAATCTCAACTGGACAGTCATACTAGTCTTAGTTGATGATCATGAATGCACATCTATCTATACCTGATACCAAAAGACAGGATTAAAGTTTGGAGTTCTTGGCAAGTACCAAGCCGCATGAATTGAAGACTGTAAAGTAGGTATATGTGGAAGAAGTATGACATTATAAAAATATTAACCTCTTTACAAATAATCTAGCATTTATGACAGTTTGAAAGTTTGACAATTTTTTGATTAGCTCACAATCTGTAATCTATGCATCTAAGGATTTTGAACTTTTATTACTGATCTGAGATATAAGATAGAATGAATCATATGAATAATATCATGTATCAAAGTAAAAAAGAAATAAAGTAGGTAGGGAAGGGGTTTTCTTCAGTGCCATTGAGATCAAGATCCATACATCCAAAGTATCATGACCATATTCAATTTGTTGAATGAATGAATATTTGAGGTTACCTGCAATTTCAATTTCATTCCTCTTAACCAATATGTAGATAAAGCTCACAACCAATCATGAACTCTTCTAGGTCTGTGAGTCAATGTATCAAAGATTGGATTAAAGTCGGTTTTA